CAGTGACAGGGGGGAGACCTGTGTGTAAACAACACAGGTCTCTCTCCTGCCAGCAACAACATGCTGCTGTGTATTTCTCTGCATAGCAAAGGAATACACAGCAGCATGTTTTCCTAGAAAAACACACACAGCACACAGAATAAAACAGCACACAGTTAACCCTTTGATCGCCCCAGATGTTAACCCCTTCCTGCCCAGTGTCATTAGTACAGTGTCAGTGCTTTTTATTAGCATTAATCACTGTATTAGTGTCACTGGGAATGTCAGTGGCAGTTAGTTCCCCTCCAGTGTCAGAATGCCCACTGCAGTCCCACAGTGCCATTGCTGATCGCCGCCATTGCTAGAAAAAATAAAATAAAATGAAAATTCCGGTATATATACCACCATTTGTAGACATTATAACTTTCACGTAAACCAATTAATTTACATGTATTGGGATTTTTCTTAGCAAAGACATGTAGCAGAATACATTTTGGACTAAATTTATGACAAAATATGGTTTTTTTTTTGCTGGATATGTTTTTTATAGCAAAAGTAAAAAATATTGGGTTTTCTTTTCAAAATTGTTGGTATTTTTTCATTTATAGCGCAAAAAATAAAAACCACACAGGTGATCAAATACCACCAAGCTCTATTTGTTGGAAAAAAAGGACATACATTTCATTTATGTACAGCGTTGCATGACTGCGCAATTGTCAGTTAAAGTAACGCAGTGTCATATCGCAAAACATGGCCTGGTCAGGAAGGGGGGTAAATCCTCAAGAGGGCAAGTTGGTTAAGCACATGATTAGTGGTGCATAAACATCATAACTCATATGGTCAGCTAATCTGGCTTCCGCCCCCTACACTCCACCGAAACCGCCCTACTCAAACTCACCAACGACCTGCTAACCGCCAAAGCCAATGGCCACTACTCAGTGCTACTGTAAGCCGTGTACCGGGGTGGGCTCCCCAGGATACAGTGAAGTCACGAACGAGGAAGGCAACCCCAACACCAGGTTTTGCAACAACAGAATTTTACTTAGATGTGGCAAATAAACACAACCACAAATGCTGGGAACATAAAATAAATTTACATACACCCAGCCCAAAGGCTGACACCCTTGTGCTGCACATCACGGCGCCTTATGATGGATGAAGGTAGAAAGTGAAGTAATTCACCTACTGGCGGGCACAACTAAGCTGCCACACCTTACCTGTTATAACCCTAAAAGAGCAGGAATCAGTGTATGGGTGTATGGTATGGGCTAGCCTGCGGTGCAGCACAACAGCTTACAATCTTACACAAATCTACAGTATTCCCCCTCCCATAACTGGTCCTGTAGCACGTGCCTGAGTATTCCTTCTGAGCAAAACGCCAGTCTGGCTTGAGTTTGTAGGATTTTATCAGCTCTCCAATGTGAAATGTCACTTTAAGTTGTGGAGTCCTTCCAATAATCAGTAACAACACTTGTGGCATGACACAAACAGAGACCCTAACTAACTAACTATACGCCTGTCTCAGTCTCTGGGCGCCAACACTGAAATGAGGTGCGTGCACGATCTTACCGACCCGGGTCTGCCTTGTATACGCTGGTGACTCAGAACAGAACAAATGTCTCTCCAACAAGCATGCGATCTCATCAGCCTTCCTGGCAGCGATCTTCCTTTCTCTGAACAGGATCAGCGTCTTGAACACCATCAGCTTCAGTAGCTGCAGTTCTCACACCTGGATGCCAACGGATTCTCTGCTCACATGGCTCTTTTCCTTCACCATCATCAAAACATGGCTGCAGTCTCTCTTCCTGTTCACTGAGCTCCCATGTGTAAAACCCCACCCCTTCCTGAATATAGAAATATCTATGCAGTCTGAGGCTGTGTTAGAAAAACAGTGACATCTTGTGGCTAAATCGCAGAATGTCAGTAAAACATTTCAAAACATTTAATTCACAATGAGAGCTGTTTCCCCATCTCACACTACTACTCCCTCGACCTCTCCGCGGCTTTTGACACGGTAGACCACCCCCTCCTCCTCAAAAAACGATACTCTTTCGGCCTCAGAGACTCCGCTCTCTCCTGGCTCTCTTCCTATCTATCCCAATGCTCCTTCAGTGTTACCTATAACGCTGCCACCTCCCCCTCACTCCCTCTCTCTATTGGGGTCCCCCAAGGCTCTGTCCTTGGGCCCCTTCTCTTCTCCATCCATACCTCCTCCCTTGGCCAACTGAAGCACTCCCACGGCTTCAACTACCATCTCTATGCCAATGACACTCAAATATATCTCTCTACCCCTCACCTCACTCCTTCAGTCTCCGCCCAAATCACTAGCCTACTGAACGACATATCAGACTGGATGTCACTCCACTTCCTCAAATTAAACCTTGCCAAAACCGAGCTCTTAGTTTTCCCACCAGCCCGCGTCCCCCCCCCAACCTCTCCATCACGACCAACAACGCCACCATCAGCCCCACCACGCAAGTCAGAGTACTAGGTGTTATTCTAGACTCCAATCTGTCTTTCCAGCCCCAGATCCAATTGCTGACAAATTCATGCAGACTCCACCTCCGCAACATCTCCAAAATACGCACAATCCTAACTCCAGAAACTACAAAGCAACTCATTCACTCCCTTATCATCTCCCGACTTGACTATTGCAACTCCCTCCTTGCCGGCCTACCCCAACACAGGCTATCCCCGCTTCAGTCTATCCTGAATTCTGTGGCCAGACTCATCCACCCTACCAACCACTCCGTATCCGCCACCCCCCTCTGCCAATCCCTCCACTGGCTTCCGATTGCCCAACGCATAAAATTCTAAATAATAGCATTACCATACAAAGCTGTTCATAACACTGCCCCAAACTATATCACCGACCTGATATCCATCTACAACCCAAAACGCACTCTCTGCTCCTCACAAGACCTCCTTCTCTCCAGTTCCCTGGTCTCCTCCCATGCCCATCTCCAGGACTTCCCCCATCCTCTGGAACTCACTACCCCAATCCATCAGAGTGTCGCCTTCCCTCCTCACCTTCAGGCGCACCCTGAAAACCCATCTCTTCAGGGAAGCCTACCTCCCTCTCACCTAATTTGCTGATCTCCTCCGCTCTTCTCACCGCTCCATCCCCCACAGCTATTTCCTCCTGTACCACTATCCCCTCCCTCCTAGATTGTAATCTCTAAGGAGCAGGGCCCTCGAACCCCTCGTGTATTGTATTGTATTGTTACTGTACTGAGCCATAATGTACAGCGCTGAGCCAACCGTTGGCGCTATATAAATACTGTATAATAATAATATGTTGCAATGGGTTTTCTAATTCTAATTACATTTTTTAATCAAAACACAATTTTCCTTACAATTTTGCCATGGTCATGTTGCAGTAGCATGAAAAATCAGTGCACCTTAAAATGACTGGTTAACTACTTAACAGGAATGTGGTATAAAAAGCACAAAGTTTCCTCTTTAACCTCAGCTCATTCCAGTAACACATGGTCACCCACACATTGTTTTTCTTCCTAGTTGTAAATCTGTGTTTTCGTAAACAAAGACGTTTCCCGAGGTTTCTCTGCACATCATTGTGGCATGGTTTAGTCATTCATTTTTAGTCATTCTACCAAGAAAAATGTAGCTGTGACTAAGACAGTACAGAACATATTACAGCTCTCAGCCACCTCCCAATTCTTCTAGCTGTATGACTGCCAAAAAAACAGGGTGTTGCTGAATTCTTTCTCTGCTCTTTCTTTGCATATAGGTTCCAATAAAATACACACAGGCACCTCCCTAATTGCATCACAAAAGACCTATAACTGCTGGTGAAATATTACTATGAAAGTATTGCCATTTACACTAAAATAGAGTGAGGACTTCTGGAGCGATCCTAGTCGTGTAAGGTAAGCCTTGCAGTGTATTTTCTTTGACAATGACAAAATTGCAGTAGTTCTTCTTAAATGTATTCACGGATAATACACCAACAGCAACAGAAATAGTTTTATTATGCCAGATATATGAAAATAAATTTACTATTCAGATATATGAAAAAGAACTTACTATTCAGATAATTCTAATCGATTAGCTACACAATAAATTATAGGCCCTCTGGTGAAAAAATAGTTCAGAAAAATAGGGAAAAGGAAAAATGTAACTGTTTTGCTTCCAAAACCCTAAACAGTTTCTATTTTACTATATGAATTGAATACAACACTAATATTAAAGTCAACTCTAGATATTGTTTTCTTAAAAATAGATTTTAAAAGTTTTGCAAAAAAATGCTACAAATTGTAATATTAATGTTAGCATGAAGTTGATATAGATCAAAATGCAAAAAAAGTGCTTTTTCAACAATAGATTATACTGATAACTAATGCTAAACAGATTTTATTATTAACATTTTTTTTACAAAATTTATAAAAATTGATTGCATTAATATCTGAATGCACAACATTTATAAAAAAAAAACCCACTTCCAGGAACAATGTAATTGCTTACCCAAGAATGGAATGTAGCACTTGTCCTAGGTGCCAATTAATGCAAGAGAAGGGTAAAATGAGTAGGACTGAATCCTTAGCAGGAAATCCAGAAGGCATTTAATTTATGATTCCAGCCCTAGGCTGGCAAGATTGTGACAACATGAAATTTTGTTGTAATGAAATTATATTCCTTGTAAAAACAAACCTCATCATTTTGTAAAATAGTTTGTTATAAAATTATACCTCGGCGTGATTTTGCTACTTTGTTTGTACTGTACATTTTTCAGCAAATGGAAGAGAATCATTGACAATGATTAATGGATTGTTCCAAAACAGGGGTCCTCAAACTTTTTAAACAGGGGGCCAGTTCACTGTCCCTCAGACTGTTGGAGGGCCGGATTACAGTTTAAAAAAAAAAAACTATGAACAAATGGGGACACAGTACAGGAGATGACCAGAGACTGCGGACATACAACTGCGGCAGGAATACTGGGCCTGCTGCTCCATAAGACGCGCAGACATTTCCCCCCAAGTGTGTCTTATGGAGCGAAATAGTGCCCCATCATTGGTGTCAGTGGGGAATCGTGCCCCATCATTGGTGTCAGTGGGAATAATTGTGCCCCATCATTAGTGTCAGTGGGAGGAATAGTCCCACATCATTGGTGTCAGTGGGAAGAAACGTGCCCCATCATTGGTGTCAGTGGGAAGAAACGTGCCCCATCATTGGTGTCAGTGGGAGGAATAGTGCCCCATCATTGGTGTCAGTGGGAAGAATCATGCCCCATCATTGGTGTCAGTGGGAGGAATAGTGCCCCATCATTGGTGTCAGTTGGAGGAATAGTGCCCCATCATTAGTGTCAGAGGGGGGAGGAATAGTGCCCCATTGTTGGTGTCAGTGGGGGGAGGAATAGTGCCCCATCGTTGGTGTCAGTGTGTGGGGGGGAATAGTGCCCCGTCATTGGTGTCAGTGGGGGAAGGGGATTGTGTCCCAACATTGGTGTCAGTGGGAGGAATAGTGTCCCATCATTGGTGTCAGTGGGAGGAATAGTGTCCCATCATTGGTGTCAGTAGGAGGAATAGTACGTCATTGGTGTCAGTGGGGGGGGAATAGTGTCCCATCGTTGGTGTCAGTGGGGGGAGGAATACTGCCACATCGTTGGTGTCAGTGGGGGGGAATAGTTTTTTCCCATCGTTGGTGTCAGTGGGGGGCAGGAATACTGCCACATCGTTGGTGTCGGGGGGAGGAATAGTGCCACATCGTTGGTCTCAGTGGGGGGAGGAATAGTGCCCCATCATTGGTGTCAGTGGGAGGAATAATGCCCCATCATTAGTATCAGTGACACCAATGATGGGGCACTATTCCTCCCACTGACACCAATGACACTTAACTTGCTGACCCCTGTTTCAGCATGGTGCTGCTGCAGCCAGCATACCTGGTTGCAGCAGCACCATCAGCAAGGCACACTTACCTGTCAGCTGTCCTTCTTCACTCCGGCCCTCTGCCTCACTCGATGTTCGCAGGGCCGCTCGGCTCCGCCTCCTTGCAGGTGATTGGCCGCCTGTGTGCCTTTCCTGAGCTACAGTTCTGGCGCCCAATCACCGGTGAGGAGGCAGAGCCGAGTGGCAGGAGTGAGGGAGTGGCTGGAGTGAATCAAGGAGCAGCGCTTCCTGGACTGGATTGTCGTGGGATTGGGACCGGAGCCAGGTAAGGTACAGCAGCCCCCTGTACTTAGTGTCCCTTCCTCACAGAAAACATGCCCCTGCCGGCAGGCCTCGGCGGGCCGTAGTTTGAGGACCCCTGTTCCAAAGGATAGGATGTGCGTCTCATACTTCTCTTTTGCAGACACCCATGCATTCAGTGGGATTGAGCCTTTCACTTTGCAAGGCGTATGTTCACTTACACATTATTGGTTATTCAAATAAACACAGGTTCACCTTATGTACTAACATTCACTTTGCAAAATGAACAGCCTGTACATCTTTATTAAATCAACCCTTATGTTTTGTCATACATTAAAGCAATATGGCACATTTGTTATTCAAATGAACTTTTCTCACCTCCAGCTTTTCAGTAAGTATGGAACAAATTCTAATGTTCCAGATGTCTTTTGTCCATAAAGCTCAGCTAACAGTCTAAGCTTTGTGGTCAAGACATCCTTTCTGGGTAAATGACTTAGAAGTATTTAAAGCGCTCAATACTGGAACAAAAATGGGGAATGCATCTGTTATGCCATAGAGCCATTTGTTGTGATTAACATTTTTGTCTCTCATGCTAAAGAACAGTGGTCTCCAAACTGTGGCCCGGGGGCTGGATGCGGCCCTTTGCCTGCTTTTATCCGGCCCTTGGAGCAATATTTCATCCTCTGACACCAACAATGGGACATATTTTCCCCCACTGACAGCAACAAAGGGGCACAATCCCTTCAAATGACACCAATGACCCCTGCTTCAGACCATTATAGCGTAAAATAAATCCAGAGTTAATGCACTAAAAGTTCTTATTAATTTTAAACACTGACTGGCAACACTTTACATTTGTTTACAAAAATCAGTTATCATATTATATTAGCAGTACATATGGTAGACCAGAACTTTGTGCACATTTTAATACAGTGTATCGATGCAGGATCTGCCATATCAGAGCTGTTGTACAGTGACATTTTGTAGCCATTCACAGGTAATGACATTTAAAAAAATAAAACTGAAAAAAAGTAATGAGCTAAAAAAAAATAGCCCAACACTTACAAGCCCAATCTTTTTATTTGTAATTGGCGGTAAAGACATAATTCGTTCAATGGTTAAGATGTCCTATAAACTGCTAACTTGGCTTTAAAACTGCCTGTCATTTCTTCAGGCAGATTATGTATTTAACTGGTCTCAGCAGTGATGACTTTATGACCTGAGGGCTCCTGACATCTCACTGTCAATATTCTTGTGGAGGGATATTCCGGCAGGCTAGAACATGCATTTAAGTGTTTTGTCAGCGTGACATGTACAGAATATACAATTGTGTATGTGCATCTGTTTACTTTCAAACAACTTTTATATTCAATTTTGTTGGAAAAGTGTCAAGTGCATTCTAAGGGTGTGTATGGGATATATATTCCACTGAATTTGACAGAGGCATGTGAACGCTAAAAACTAATCAAAGAACCAGTCCCAGTCTGAGAACAATAAAATATGCCACAAGATAGGTTGGGTTGCTTAGGATTCTGTTTTGAAATATACAGTGAGTCAGCCATCTGTGAATCTGCCAGCTGGGTGGGGTGGGGGATGGTGTAATAGCTGAGATTTGGTATCACACAATAGTTCTAAGTCATTTGCATGACCTAACTTCTTAGCTTGACTTATTCTTGCAAGATACCTATAGACATTAAATGACAATTGAAAGGTCAACATATCTCGTGTTTGCTCTGTAGAATGATTGTTAAAAAATCCTGCATGCTCATTTTAGGCAAGCATGTATGGTTATGTACTGGGCAAATATCCCTAGTGCTGACCTTCTTATTAGATGAACAGCTGCTATGTACAGAAAGATTCACTTTAAAAATGTTTCTCGTCACCTGGAGTAACTGACCCAGTAGTGTCTGCTGGGATTGTATACATGATATAGACATACACACGACTCTGCTGCCTCTTAAAAAAAAACAAAACAGGAAATTCTTGTAAAAAAGAAGAATATTAAAGCTGTATTAAACCCAAAACCAAAAATGCAATTTATTGCAGCTTACAAATCATCAGATGCAGTGGCTGCATCTGTTTTTCTGCGCTTTTCACTCTGTTTTCATCTGGTGATCTGGCCTGTAACACACCTTCTGTATTTTTGAGACACAACTCTGGAGAAATGAACGCAGGAAGCACAGCAGACAGCAGCCTTATCAGTCTGGGGGAGAGGGGAGTGTTACATGTATTAGCCGGTTTGAGAACAGTAACTAATTGAAGCCAAACTCCAGCTCACAATTTATAATGAGTTACAGCAAAAAGTTATTTCCTATTGGAATAAAGAGTTTACATGAATAAATAAAAGCTGATCCTTTTAACCATCCCTGCCAGTGTTAAATGGTCAATCTCATCCTTGTAAACTGGTGCATTTCATTGGAGAGTTTGATAAAACAACAGATTTACTGGCTGAATCTCCAGATGAAAGTAGAAGGAAGAAAGCCTAAAAAAAGAAAATGAAAGCAGCCATTAAATCTAAGAATTAGTAAGCTGCAATATAATAAATGTTTTTGGGTTAATGCGACTTGAATACTTACTGTACATGTTCCACTTTTGGTGCCTTGGATCTTCATTCTCTTAAAAATCTATTTCAAGCTAAAGAATCTTCTCCATCTCCATCCACCACACCTCAATCCAATACAGAGTGACCGCTGGCCCTCACTTTCTTTCCTACAGGGCACAGTAATCACATAAAGGTCAGTGGATGGAACCAAAGCACATAGCGGCTGAACAGCCATCCAATACACCCAACATCTTTTTTGTGACTGCTCTTGCAGATACTGCTGGCCAGGGATTCTTCTAATCCAGCAATCAGCTTTCCTGCATAGATTCAAACAGAAAAGCCTTTACTTTGAGTCCATTCAAGATTCTCATTTTTAACTGAAGACCTGATAACGGGGAGTCCATTTGACACCCAAAACACATTGGCTGTCTACAATATCAATAAATTAATTTGAACTCTTTTATCTTTTGGTCTGGTGCTCCTTCCATGTAGGCATGTTTTTTTAGAACCTGTTGTAGTACCCACTGGAGGGTAGCCTTGTCTGTTGTGAGCAGCCTAACCTGAGCCAGCAGGCTCTTCAAATGTTTTCTCACTGCTTTGTATAAACTCATATCAAAGTCCTAGCTCCTGTCCTTTTTTTCATTAGGATCCAATACACCCAGAACTGTGTTAGATGCAGAAGATTTTGTAGCTTGTATAGTTCTTCAGCAGAGGAAAGATCTGAGGTATTGGCAGGGAAATTACTGTGTAACAGAAAGGCTTGGATTATTTCCTAAATGCACATAATACAACTGAATACTAATATTTATAGGTAAGGTTGATCCAGGGAATATTCAATTGCCTCTTGGGGGATCAGGAAGGAATTTTTTTCCTTTTTTTAAATTGAATCATGCTTTATTGGGGGTATTTGCCTTCTTCTTTAATCAAATGTGGTTACTGGATGATGCCTATTGGGGGTTTTCTATGTGTGTGTGTGTAATATCAATAGCATTTATCATATTTTTATTAGCTGAGATGAATGGAGCTACTTGGAAGGCCTGAATGTAAACCAAAATTTAGAGAGGATAATATATTGCAATAGTCTAAGTAAAGAAACATAAGAGTATAGCTTATTATGCTATCATTATTGTAGAGTTCAATTATTTAATGTTTACCATAATAAACAGACAGAAAACAGGTTTCATCAATTCATTGTAACAAAAAAATGAAAGATGATTTTAATTACTAACATTCGGTCACTACGCTATGAATGTTGGTCTTTGCTTCACTAGAAGTAGTTTAGTACATGCTTTATACTCTAACTTCTCAAACCTGTTATTTCAGTTTTTGGGTGGATACTGTACGATTGAGTTGCCCACCCTCTCACTATATTTTTGTCAAATTTGATTGACAAGACCTTGTTACTTATCTTATTCCCAGATCCACCCAGTTGTCCCTGGCCAGGAATATCAAATTATAGATGACAGATGCAGTATACCATAAACAGAATACGGTCAAATCCTTCTATACAAGCACAAGAAGGAAAGGCGTTAAAGAGTAATAGAAGAGAAGACCTTTTCTGGAGAAATTGCTCTTCCACGCATCCTCCTATGTTTCTCACTAAAATAAAAGCCTAGGCATTTTTTCATGTGATGATGTACTAAAGAGGAGGATAGGAGTTCATATTACCACATCCATATCTTCAGCAGAGATTATATGACCAAATAACTTGGCTTGTGGTGATTTATGTTTTTATACATTCTGTATTATTACCCAAAGCAGCATTCTTTGCAGAAATGCTTGCATTGTATTGTTCCTCTTTTATTAATTTAAAGTGGATGTAAACCCTTACATACAACCAGTGAAGTGACTAGCCTAAGGTGATACACATAAATGAAAAAACCCTCCTACATAAGTTGTATCTTTTTATCTGTAGTCTTCTCCTCTCTACAGCTGTTCAAAGTCCAGAATATATAAAACTTGCGTGAGCTGTCAGAAAACAGGGTGTGTGGAGCTGAGGTTACACTCTGCAGAGCTGAGTGAGAACTG